TGAGGCCCAAGGTGTGAGAACCTGGGTGTCAGGAGGGGTAGGCTGGTATAAATCCTGGAGCCTAAAGGCCACAGAAACTGGAGCTGTCATGTCCAGGGGCAGGAGAAGAAGAGTGTCTCAGCTCCAGGAGAGAGAGAGGAAATCATTTTCCGTTTCCTTTTTTGTTCTATCTGGGTCTCCAGCAGACTGGATATTGCCTGTCCATACTGGGGGCAGATCCTTCTCACCAAGTCCACAGACTCACATGCCAAGCTCCTCTAGAAACACCCTCACAGACAGGCCCAGAAACAATGCTTTACTAGTTCTCTAGGTATTCTTTAATCCAGTCAAGTTGACACCTAAAATTAATCATCACACAATTCTTTTACAAAGATAAGCTTCCCCTCACGTCTAATTTGGTTTAATTCATAAAGGTCTACACAAATGCCTCATTCTTTCCACTTACAAGTTTTCAAGGTCATGAAGTGGCTTCCTGTTATCATCCCAAGGTGATCAATTAGTATTCTATTTCATTTTTGTAACGTCATTATGAACTCAGAGATCTAAAATTATCTATTTTAAAGTCTACATTGCTCCATCTTTGGCCAGTAGAGGCCTATTCGAGTTGGCTCCTGAGTCCTTTGACAGAATATTGGTAATCTTTGATAGCTGTCCTGGAATCTGGGACGACAAGATGTTCCAAACTCATCTTGCATATTTTGGGTCATAGACCTGGGATCAACCAATTTCCCAACGGGCCCCAGATGCTAGATCACACTCCGGGTTCTAGGGGTCCTAGCTACGACTGTGTTTTTAGTCTCTATGGCGACAGAGCTAAGATACACATGTGGGATGTGTGTTTGTGTGCATGTGTCTTTATAATAATTCCTGAGTAAATTCTAATCTTTTCCATTTAAATTCAGGATTACTGGATTAAGGACATTACTCTTTTTTTTAATTTTTAATTTTTATTTTTTATTTTGTGAGACAGAGTTTCACTCTGTCACCCAGGCTGGAGCGCAGTGGCATGATCATGGCTCACTGCAGCCTCGACTTCCTGGGCTCAAGCGATCCTCCTGTCTCAGCCTCCTGAGTAGCTGGGACTACAGGTGAGAGCCACCACGCCCTGCTAATTTTTTGTACTGTTTGTAGAGACGAGGTTTCACCATGTTGCCCAAGCTGGTCTGGAACTCCTGGCTCAAGGTATCTGCTGGCCTCGGCCTCCCAAAGGGCACTTACACTTCTGTATCAAATTTGTATCTCCTTTCTTTCACACTGAGAATCCTGATTCTCATGGATGCATTGATTAAAGAAAGAGAATAATTCAAAATTGCTAATATGCTTTATTCCACGTTACACATACAACATTCTCAGAATAACAATAATACTGCCATCACTAGTATAATTATTGAGAACAGTTGAAATTATTTTTGCATATATGCTCTCCATTCGCCCCACCTTTGTAAAAGCTGCACTATATCAATGCTAAGTATTTAATCATTATATACTGTGCTGTCTCCCATTTAGCCTCACTTAATTACATTTCTGCAAGTAACTATATGTTTTATGCTTATCACCTGTTCTTGTGACAATGCCTCTCTAGTTATTTTGGCTGTCTGAAGCTCTTTATCTAGTAGATTCCCCAGCAATGGTTTGAGGAAATAATATTCCTTGAATTCTTGCCTGTTGATAACAGTTTGCTTTAGTCTTTCATACCTAAAAGTCAGTTTTGCTGACTTACAAAATCCTTGCTTCACATTTTCTTATTTTGAATGCCTTAAATATATTACCTTATGTTTCCTGGCATGAAGCATTACTGTCCAAGTCTTAATGATAATCTAATATTCCTTCCCTTATGAATCACTTGTTGCTTTTGCCTAGAAGCCCAAAGGACTTTTTCTTTATCTTCAAAGTTCAGTAATTTTATTAGAATGCGTTTTGATGTTGGTCATTTTGGGCCCATATTCTCAGGTACCTGATATGCTCTTGAAATAAGAGTTTTTAATCTTCTTTTTTTAAATTCAGGGAAACTTCCTTGGATGATGTGTCTGTTATTCATTTGTTTTTTAGTACCTCTGCTGTTCTCTTATTTTTGTTATCTTCTTTAGGACTCCTATAATCTGTAATTTGGATGTTCTTTGCCAGTCTTTAATATATGTGACTTTCTCCCAAATACTTTTTCTTTATTTTCTTAAATTTAAAATACTTTCCTCTTTTTTGCCTTCTAATTCCATTGAATAATTACCTATTATATTTATTCTCTTTTGTGGTCCTTCTAGACTAGTCTTCATTTCTAAAATAATTTTTTTCTTTTATTCCAACATTTTCCTGAGTCCTGATATTTATTTTCTGAGTTATTATAGTTTCCATGTATGTTTTTTTCACCTATTGTGTCATTCTTGATACTTCTTTGCTATTTTAAAAATAGAAACTTATGGTTTTAGTTTATTATTTAATTATGTCTTCTAAGCAAACTTTCGTTGTCTAGCAGGTTGTTATTCTGCTCCTATGGGATTTAACCTTCATAGATTTTTTGCTGTTTGTTTTATATGACATTGGGTTTCCTGTACTTTTAGAAAGTTCAGGGAAACTTTCAAACTTCACACGGCTCCCTCTTCTGTTGCTTTCATGTTATGTTAAAAAACAAATAGCAGTTTTCTAAGATTTCTTGGATCCATTCCCCTCTCCCATACTTATCTATGTTTTCTCTGTTGTCTATATCCTGTGCAATTTTTATTCCACTCCCAGAAGTTTCTCCTCTATGTGAGTCTGTCTTAGAAAGCAGCTGTAGTGGCTCAGAATCCTTAGGGGCTACACTGCTGTAGATCCTTCAGCTGTGTTATGAACCATTGGCACCCATCAGCAATAATTCTTGATGGCTTTGGGTTCTGCTGTTCTTATGTTCATCAGATTTCCTGTTGCTTCCCTCTGCTCACTCCTGCATAGACTCTCTAGGTCTTGTGGCACTTGGTCGTTTGTCCTTAGTCACCTTGGAGTTAGTGGATATAACTTGTCACACAGGGTGTTAACTAATCAAAAATGGCCTCAACATTTCCTCTGCTCCCTATACATATGCATCCTGATCTGACACCAAAAGGTACAGAGTATTTCTTCTTATGAATCTGAGATCTTCTTGTGACTGACTGACCAACAGAATACGGAAAATTGATATTCTAGGAACTCTTGGCCCCCAGCCTTCAGGTTGTGAGAAGGCCAAGCCAAGGAGAGGCCATGTAAAGAACTGAAATGCTCAGAATTACAGCTCCAACTGAGCTCTCAGGCAACAACTATGAAAGTGGCATCTGAAATGTTCTGCCCCAACTGAGTCTTCAGATGACTACAGCGCTAGCTGTGAGAGATAACAAAATGGTAGTTGTTTTAAAATGCAAAATATTGAAGTGGTTTTTAATATAGCAATAGATAACGAAAATGCCTGGTTTTATTGTAAATGTTATCCACAGTTTTTAATGTTGTTACTTAATTGCTCCTCTGTTTTTATGCAGGGATTTGAAGAGAGTCTAAAATAATGTCTTGTAATGCGATCTGCCCAAATCTGCCCAGAATCCAATTCTGTCATAAGATTATAAGGTTCTTCTAGCATAGATCTCAGTCAAGACCCATGAAACCATCAGAGAGTATAATTCAGAACCAGAGCAAAACACGGGGAATTTATAGCTTCCCCATATGGACTTTGGCTTTCTAATCAACCCTAAATGAAAACAGACATCTCTTTCCTCGTTGTGCACACCACCCCCTCACCATGTTATAGTTCATACTAAATACGTTGACAATCCATATATCTGACATTAGTTGCCTGAATAAATTGGGCACTCTAATTTTCTAGATCCATGTTAAGAGCATCAGCTAAACTTTTTTTTTTTTTTTAACAATTAAAGCATTTTTTAAAAAGTCACAGTAAGTTATGCAGATACTGTAATCAAGTTAATAGTTTGGCTAATTTTCCAGCCAATCCATTCAGTCATTCAAAGAGTACTGAGTGCTTATTAAGAACTGTTCTAGGTATCCAGGCACTGATGTGATTATAGACCAGTAAACAAGTAAACAGCCCTACTCTTGGGGAAATTAAGGTCCAGCAGCTCATATTCTCTAAATACCTGTTCAGTGGTCATCCTACTGTCACTTAAACACACGCCTTGGAAATTGCCAAACCCATTTCCAGCTCCCTACAACTTTTAGTACACTTCCTCGAAAATGTTTTGGTAAATATCATTTTATCCATTTCATTACATTTTCAGTGGTGGCATAGAATTCCTTCAAGATTAGTTTCCTTGGATGCTACCCAACTACTATTCCTCTTAATCCAATTCTGATTTCAAAGAGTCATTAAAATGTGGCAAACAGGGGAAATGATTAAGTGTTAGATTTAAATTTTTTAAATAACACTATAGTTACTAAGGGGGGTACTTTAGTGGATGCTTTATTAGATGAGTAGGAGTTTGGGATCTTTGTGTGTATATGGGAGTGCGGAGATGAGAGGAAAAGGAGGTGAGTAGTAGAGGTTGTTAAAAGAGGAAAAAGGAAGAAATAAAAGCCCATATTCTCAAAACCAACAATTTAAGAAACTCTAGTATTTTAGTAGCTTTCTCCATGTACAACCTGGAAATGTACATTAACAGGAAACTTTCTACCCACCCCTGCCTCCGCCTTTCCCATCCTTGGGTCTGCTGGGATCTGTCGGTGGGTAGAAGACATTGTCATTGTTTATAATGTTCATAAGCCTGCCTGAATGTGAATGACATATATTTAGAAATCAAAATAAAGCTTTGGGAAGATCTTCAATTTAATGGAAACTAGTCTAGTCATTTGGGAACCACAAGAGCTTTTTAGGGAAAATCTGCCTCTGCCAGCTGGAGGAAGTGTGGGTGTACCGGGGTCCCGGTGATACCTTGTGATGTCAGTCACCCCCAGGCTGAGGTTGATTGGCTATGAAGAGCTGCAGCAGAGTTTAAATTCCTGCACCATCAGAGAAGTGTCCAGAATATCAACACAAGAGTGGCTTCATTGGGCATAGATTTCCTCCGTGAGAACGTCAACCTGATTTTTGAGACTTTTTGAAAAAAGTCTTTGTGAACTAAGGAGGGTAAGCCATTTATATCACTTAATTTTTTAAAATGACTTTTGCTGGTTGTTTGGAAAATATTAAATATGTATACATGTTTGAGGCATTATACCATGAAGAGAGAGATGGGAGAGCTGTGCTTTGGGTAAAAACAGTTCATATTTTTGTGCCTGTTGTTTATGCCACAGTAAATAATGATATTAAAATGACATGTTAAGTCAACAGAGCCAGGTGTTTTTCTTGGTAATGCTTTAATTAGATCTCCGCAAGATGCTTCTAAAAGGGAAAGTTTATAGAACAGGAGGCAGATGGAAGGTCATTTGAAATTTAGTTTTAATTAGCAAAACATACAAAACTTTTACATTTAGGTTTCATGAATATGGGAATGTTTATGGCCTACAAGATTGTGAAGAAAAATCTAAACTGGATGGAAGGACTTTCAAAATAATTTTTTTAAATTAAAAAATGTAATGTTATTCATCTAGAGAGCATCTAGTAATATTTTTTATGAACTGCATAAGTAACTAAAAGATGATTAAACTACTGAAATAACTGAGGGTGTGATCATTACATTTTTTGTATTGTTTAACTGGGTATTCACGTTAGCATGATGCCTTGGATACAGTCAGAATTCAATAAATGTTAGTTATAATTGCAGTTAAAAATATTTTTTAGTGTAGAGAACTTGTGTATATGTTCCTGTCCATATGTATTTTTATGTACTGTATTTACTGTACTTCATCTGTATGACATTTAGAAGAGTCCATGTGTTTCAGCAACTTATCTTCCTTAAGAGCAGTAACTTGTGCTTAACCATACTTTCCGTTTAACTGAGGCTTGACTAACCTATTTTAACCTTGTTTAAAAATGTGAACAAACTATTTTCTAAAGGGTATTAGTCCACTTATCTGCCTGAAAATGGTGATGTAAAACACACCTCAGATGCTTAGAGGCCTTCCAAATCTATATTTAATTTTGGGGACACCTCACAGTTATTTTCCTGTGGTTAAAAGCATATAATATTGGATTCATTGTAATTGACCTTAAGACACTTACAATAGGAAGAATTGGAATTTTTTTTTGGTTTGTTTGTTTCTCTGGATTCCTGGTTGAGTTCATATCCTGGCCAAGTTTGACTCTATTTTCAAAGAGTAATAAGAAAACAAATTCTAGCAGGTTCTAGTTAGTTGGATTCAGGGTAATTTTACTTTTGTAAAACCAGCTTATTTTATTATTGTTACAAATTTCTGTATACTCAGCACCTAGAAAAGTGTCTAGCACATTGGATGTTCATAAATATTTATTGACTGCTAATGAATGAATGTATCATTCAGTTGTGTTCTTGAAGATAACAAACAAAGCAAATTAATATGATGAATTGTTTTCCAAAAGAAAAAAGAGCCTATGACTTTTCAAACCTTTATTTTCTTCCTTTGGCCTATTTCCTTCATTTTGGTTTACATAAAAGAAGACATATATTTTACAAATGTATCTTAACCTTGAGAAAATTCTAGAACAAATTTCCTTACTTAAGAGCCCAAAGAAGTTTTGGCTACATCTGAAGTCTTGACTTTAGTTTCCCTCTCCACATTCTAAACATTTGGCTCTTTTCAACTCTATGAAAACAATTCAAAAAGTCAGAAATTCTCTAATACACTGCCTTCCAAAGGGATGGAACTCAGGTTGTTGATTTCCTTTTGTTACGTCATCTCACTGTAGAATGACAGCATGTGGAACGTAGAAATAACATTAGCCAACCCTTGAAGAAGAACTCAAAGTTCTGGACTTTTAATTGCAGACTTGTAGCTGTGGTTCACAATTACTATTCAGAATAGGGCTACTGCCTATCTGCTTCTACTCTTTTTTGAATAGTAGCCAAAATGTTTATAAAAAGTTTGGAGCTCTTGTTTGGAAAGCACTTCACAAAATTACAATTATTTTTATCAAAAATACCAAATGCAAACCTAATATGGGGTTTAAGATCTTACTTTCTTTAATGCTTAAGGTTGGACTATATTCTTTGGGTGGCAACATCAGCTCTTTCAGAACTCTAGGGTGTCTTTTATTTTAGTTTACTAGACTTGCATCTGGGAAATTACTGCTTTAGGTCAGGGTGCTAAATAGTATTTCTAGAATCCTGAGCAAGTTAGGGCATCTTTCTTATGCTTTAGAATCTTCCATCCCTAAGAAACTTGAGCACTAGGGGCATGCACTTCTTTGGGAAAAAACACAACATTCATTGGTTTAGAATAAATGCACAATGGCATCCCCAATTTTCTAATTATTTAGATGAGAAACTAAAGAAAACACAAGAGAATTCAATAGTCATTGACCTTCTGTCAAGGCTCTAACATTTGCTAGTTTTCAGAGAATCATGAAATTATAACCCTATTCAAATTTCACTTTGAAAATTAAAATGGTGAGCTATCTAATTTTCATTTGATCTGTGAAGCTAAAACCACTGACAGGATTATTTTGAGAATATCATATTTGAGAAAATTTTGCTTTCCTGAAGAAATAAACCTAACAAATTTAAAAAACAGTTTTGATTGTGGGATCTAAAGAGAAGTAACATCTATTAAATTAAGCTTGATTTTGGTATAGTTAAGTATTTTCATATGTTTTTCTTTGTTGATACTAATTGAAGGATTTTTAAAAGAAATTAAGATAGTATCAAACATAAGGACTGATATACACTATGCTGAATTAGAATAAAGAAAGTAGCACAAATTAAGAATAACTATGCTGAGGAGAGATAATGCCTATAATATACATGAGAGGTTGTTTGAGTTGCGTGAAGGTAGAAATGAGAAGCCTGTTCAGGCTCCTTATCTTAGGATTTCTATTATTTTCTTGAATACATTAAAAATAAGGTTAAATGACTTCTTGAACCCAATGTTTCAGATAATATTCAGCATATTCAGGCATTATTGAGTGTTATACATTTATATACACATATGTACACATATATATGTATTGCATATATATACGTGTGTATGTATATGTATATATACACATATGTGTGTATGTATATGTGTATACATACATATATGTGTATACACACATATATACGTATACAGGTATACATATATATGTATATGTGTATATATACATAGGTACATATGTATATGCACATATATACATATATACATATACATACGTATATGTGTATACACATATACATACACACATGTATATATATGCAATACATATATATGTGTGTATATATGTGTATATATACATATACATATAATTTGTTTTTTGAGACAGGGTCTTCCTCTGTCACCCAAACTGGAGTGGAGTGGAGTGGCAGGATCATGGCTCAGTGCAGCTTCAGCCTCCCTGGCTGAAAGAATTCTCCCCACTCAGCCTCCTGAGTAGCTGGAACTACAGGCACGTGCCACCATGCCTGGCTAATTTTTATTTCTTAGATCAAGTGTTAAAATCTCTTCTGGAACTTTAAAAACAAACCTATTCCTGTGCCCACCCAAGTGAATGGATATATTGCCCTGGGACGGGATTTGTGTATTGGCATTTTAAAAACCCTTCCCAGGTGATAGTAATATACATTTAGGGTTGAGAATCTTTGGCTTTTAACTCCTATCATTAGTTTAGGGGCCAAGGGAAAACTTACCCCTCACCCTCTGAAGGTTTGCTGAAAATCAACTGACAAAAGATAGATTAATAGGAGAAAAGGAACACAAATTTATTTTTATGTGACACAGGAGCCTTCAGAACGAAGACCTGAAGATACAGGAGAAACTGTCCATCTTTATGCTTATGTCCAACAAAACGTGGGCAGCCATGTAGAAATATGATTGGACAAAAAGGTTTTAACCTTATACTAGTAGACCAAGTCGGGTGGCCCAGCCAGGCCTGTCCAGATTCTTCTTGGCGTCTCTGTGCAGCATTTCTTCCTTCTTGATACGGGACAGTACCTTCTCTGGAATGGGGGTCTTATGACCTACAATTAAACTAGGTGGGTCAGAGAATTTCTTTATGGCCAGTTGTTACACAGAAAGACAGGGGGACTTAGGGGAATATTTTTGGGTTTTATTGCTGGCTTTGGGGAAAAGAGGTTCTGGTTTCTATAACCTGCCTTTGGGAAGAGGGATTCTAGTTTCTATGGTTAGTCTCAGGGGAGAATGAGGGACCACAGATAGGAGGGCAGGGGAAGGTCAGAGCGAAGTTTTTGCTTCTGAGGCCTTCATTGTGGAGTATTGTTTTCTGAGCTGCTACACTAGTAAACTATTGCAAATCAAAGAAAATGACTGAGTTGAGTCTCAATTATTTTTTGGAGACTTATCTTGTCAAAATTGAGGATACATTTGGGAAAAAGGAACACAAAACCACCAGAAACATCTATGGTCAATGTTTCTTTACAAAGAGAGTCTGAGGACTTCAGTATTTAAAGGGGAAAGAGCAGACAATAGGAGAAAGAGGAAGGGGATAAAAAGAATGGGTAGATAAAAGAGGCAAGTGGTTGCATTCCTTTGGGTCTTTGTTTAGTGTTCACTGAACCTAGATTTTATATGTGAAAGGGTAGAGGAGTAGTTAATTATGCATTTGTCTCATGCTCAGTGAATCTGCATTTTTACATAAGATAAAGTAAACATAGACTAGAGGAAGCTGTCAGACATGCATCTGTCTCAGGTAAGAAGAGGAATGACTTTTAGTTCTGTCCTTTGTCCTGAACTTGTGAAGGTAAGCTGTTAATTTACATGGTGACAGTGAAATTCAGCCAGACTGTTTTAGGGTAGAGATCTCAGGGCCCACAGGAATATCCCTGTGAGAAAACTGTGAGGGAGGTATGTAGCTTTTTATCCCTGTAGCTATCTTTTTAAGAACAAAATGGGAAGCAGATCTGAGTGACCCAGTTCCTAGGTTGACTTTTCCCTTTGGCCTAGTGAGTTTGGGGTCCCAAGATTTTATTTTCCTTTCACGGTATACATTTAACATTTAAAGAAATGAAACAAATCAACAAAAGTGAAATAAACTTGCAGGATTATTTGTGGAATATATGGAAGTTCATCGGACAAGTATGCTAAGGCAGCTACCAGGGCTTACTAGTGCAGGGTAAATTGCGTTCCTTAAACCATTTCAATAAATTTTTACTTTAGCATCTAGTACATCTATTTTTAAATACAGAACAAAGTGTTTTCCAAAGCAACAGTTCTTGAAGTGTGAAATGAAGTTACCCTTCAGAAAAGCAGTTTGATTTGGCATGTTTCTCTCTGCATGATTTACAAGTGTATCCCAAACCTCTAATCTTCCTCAAATTCTTCAGTACTGTGAACGCCAGCAAAAATAATTTAGCATAATCATGTATAATGTATGATTAAATGTGTCACAGTAGATATTAAGAACTTTCTGAAGTTATAATATGCAGCCTACTCTAGCACATCTCTTGTAGATTAAAAAAAAGCGAAAACAATCTATGTTGTGTAGACATTGTTATGCAGTCATAAACGTGACTTAGAAGCCATTGTGTGTGTGTGAAAACAAATGCCCACCACCTATCACTGGTGTCAATAAGTGTAGTTTTTAGGGAGAATACATTTGCTAGGGTGCTCTGCCATACCAAGCTGCGTAATTATTGTAAAAGTGAATGGATAGAAATTTCTGTATTCCTCTTTCTTTACTTTTTCGTCAATTTATCATACTTTATGTGTTAGTGTTTGTAGATCTCCTCATTGGAACATTTTCAATTTATTTCTTAGGAGTGAGGTTTTTAAAAACCAGTTTGTTGAGTTATAATCTATACACCACATACTTCACTAATTTGAAGTGTATAGCTCAGTGGTTTTTCGTATATTCACAGAGTTGTGCAACCTTCACTATGATACATGGAACAGTTTCATCACCTCCAAAAGAAATCCTGTACCCATTAGCTGTCACCCCTCAACCTCCCATCTGCACAAGCTCTGGGCAACCACTAATCTGCTTTTTGTCTCTGTAGCTTTGCCTGTTCTGGACATTTCATGTAAATAGAAGCATTCCAATGCGGCCTTTTTATCTGGCTTCTTTCACTTAGCATAGTGTTCTCAGGGTTCCCCTATTCTGTAGCACGTGTCAGTACTTCATTCCTCTTTATGGTTGAATAATATTCTGTTTTATAGATATAGTAAATTTTATTTATCCATTCATCAGTTCACGGACATTTGGATGAATTGTTAATAAGAAGAAACTGTTAAAAAGTTGAAGCTACTTTATTTCTTTAACATGGAGAGAAACATCTATGTCCTTCGTTCCAGGTAGACGTATCACACCCAACTATGAAGATCAGCATCCTGCTCACGTTTCTTTGGGGATTATCCTACGCTCTCCCAGTAAGTATTAGGGTAGGGATATGTGAAAAAACCCTTTCATACTTAAAACTCCGTGATTTTCATTGGCTATGAACCAAGATGGCTGTATATGTTCCAGTCCAGTAAAAATAGTAGTTTCTTAGAATGCTGTTTTCTTAAGAAATTTCATTTAAGTTGTTTTTTATTCTGTTCAGTTGCCATTCATATAGATATCATTCACATTTTTCTTCCCTATAAGCTGTGGTTCTTAAAGTGTCATCCCGGAACCAGCAGCATCAGCATCAACTAGGACCTTGTTAGAAATCCAAGTTCATGGACCTTACCTCAGAGTTGCTAAACCAGACTCTTTAGGGATAGGAAACAGAAATCAGTGTTTTAACAAGGCCTCCAGGTGATTCTGATGCAGCCTAAAATTTGACTATCCCTACTCCTATGTATGAAAAGTGTTAATAACTGTTGCTTCAGAAATTTCTCTTTGGATTTACCATGTGTACTAAATTTTCTAGGTAGCCAGGTATCAAAATAATGAATCTGAGAGTTCTGAAGAATGGAAGGTGAGTAGAAATATGACTTTTTGAAATATTTTAATTTTAATTTATTATGAGTATAACCAAATTGACTTATTGAAAATGTTGAAACTGCTAATGACTTCATGAGCATATTAATAAGCTAAACTACAGAGTTCATAGATGAAAATAATGCTGCGATTCCAAGTTAGTAGTATATACTCTGGCAAGGAAGCATATTTTCTGTTAGCTTTCTTCTTGTAATGGATGTGTATAATAGTACCAGGGGATGCATGACAATGAACCAAGAGTTTTCAGGAGATATTATGACTTGAAATCTGTTTTAACAAGAGTTATCTGGTGGGCAAGAGGTCAAGTCCTGGGAGGTGAGAAAAGCAAGAAGAATGAGAGGACACTACAGTCTCTGGAATGAGAGCTAATGTTGCTGGCATGTTATTGTATTGAGAATTATTAACTCTCAATAACTCAAGAATCATTGCCAGGCACAGTTCTGAGTGTTTTACATATATTAACTTTCTTAATTTTCACACCTCTGTGAATTAGACATTACGTTTTATTCTCACTTTACAGATGAGAAAACTGACCACAGAGAGTAACTCAATCTGTCTAGGTTACGTGGTTAATTAGTGTTAGAGCCAGACTTTGAGATTATGTCACTCACTCTAGCTCCAGAATCCACATTCTTAACCAGTGTGTTACTCCCTCTCAGGAGGGAGCCTGATCTAAGAGGTCAGAAAATTCTCAAGATTGGCACTAACAGTTAAAATCTTACGTGAAATCAGAGCATTTTGTTCACTACCTTGTTTCCTACTGGCTTTTACATATGATAAAGCTTGGGCCCAGTGCTTTTGGTGGTGGCCAGATAATGTCAGCGACCTGAGGTGGGGTCTTGTCCATGCCTGAGTCTGGAATAGACTTCACAGTATTTGTTATGAACTTTCTTCAGAGATATCCATAGGCTGGTTAATTTAAAAGCAGACACTGTAGATCCTCTCTCTCATTTAACCAGAGACACACAAACATGCCCTGTTCTCAAGTCTAGCCTTGGCATGAGAAAAATAACAATGTCTTGCTCCCTTCCACCCATTAATTCCAAATGATAATTGACTGGAGCACAGCCTGCCATTGTGCCTGCCTGTAGTGTCGCAGGCCAAAGACAGAGTGATTATAGCTCCTTTCTCTAAGGAGATATCCCCAGTCCAGCACCGCTGAGACGCACGTTGAAGACATATCAATAGCAGCTCCTCCCTGCTCTACTTCGCGCCTTGGGTGTTCCACACAGGACTTTGCCCTCCTCAAAGGGCAGGGGGGAGAAGTGGTGGGGAGGGGTACCAGAAGTTGCTAAGGCATTCTTATAGTGCTTATGAGACTAAAGATAGTGAAATAAATCAGAAGTATGACTAGTTAAATTTCTGACTTAGCATTTGTTTTTAAAACCAGGGCTGTTACATGACTTGAGAAAGGTTTAATGGCTTTCTCAATTCAGTTTTTTTTACTATTAAATTTTACATGATGGATGTTCTCAAATGGATTTTTTCTTTAGTTTATATCATGTTGAATAAATAGTTTTCGAGATACTTCCATAGGCATTAGCTGGTTTCGCCCTCATAACTACCTTGTGGGGTAAGCACAGTGGGTGTTAATTTCCTTAATTTATGAACAAGAAACTGGGGGTCAGACACATGAAGTGAATTGCCTACCTTCACCTAGAGTAACCAACCATCTCGGTTTACCTGGAACTTAGGGGTTTCCTGCAACACATGACTTTCCGTGCTAACACCAAGATGATTGGTTCTCAGGGCTAAAACCAAGACCAGTGAGTTAATTGAGACTTAAATCTGGATTCTGAGTTTCAATGCTGCTTTTCATGTGTTACATTTCCTCTAGGTTGTATGAACGGCCAGGTTCAAAGACAGCGTATTTATTTCTGTAAATGAAATATCAGAAATAGAAACATCGTCTAGGTCTCTTATATCCCAAGATCTTTTCAAGCCATTAGTCATTTTACCTTCCTTTTTGAACTATTTCATCATAAAATTTCACTAATTACTCCTGTAAATGTAAGATCTCTACCAAGAAACTAAAAATAATCCTAAAATTATTGTAAATAATTACAATAATGAAATCCATCTGTGAGGGAGTAATTTGTTTTCCTTCCTTTCCTTTTATACAGGGTCATTTGACTCAGGCACCAACACCTCCCTTGGTAACTATCTCATTTACTTTTGTCATAAACATCTCATGAAGCAACTTTAACACTCTTTCCATTGCCTTTTACAATTTTGAAAGTAGTAAATCCAGACTGGAAGCAATTGATGTGTATCATGTTTTTTTTATTTCCTAAGGAATTACTAAAAAGAAAAATAAACATTTTTCTCCTTTCAGGAGAGTAGTGAGTCATCGAAAGGAAGTAAAGTTAACTCAGAGGAACACGTAATTAAACAGACCTTTCTTAACTTTTCAGGCTACTTAGGAATGGAAGGAAATGATGTTAGATTAAATTACCTGGCAACAGTTCTAAATATAATATTTTCTAACTATGAGTTATGCTGGCTAAAGAGTCCCATAAAATAAGAAGAGAAAAATGAGTAAGGAGAATTCACATGCAGACATGCTATTCATCTTATTTTCATCACTGAGGCTAGATTGCTGGCATTGTAGCCCCAAATGTCTCTCCTAGTTAAAAAATACACACACACAGACACACACGCACTCACAAATGGTCATTGACCATTTCAAACTTACTCATCAACTTAAACTGTTGTTTTTACAATTGGAGCAGTTCAGATCAGGTGAAGAAGTGCCTGGAAACTTCTCTGTGTCAAGGGTCCTGCTTGAAGACAGAACAGGAGAGCCCTGAGGAAACTAAGTAAAACAATTATTTCATTAATGACTTTCTCTTTAAAAATAGTCCCATCTGTGGGACCGGGCTCTGGGAGTGAGAAAGGCAGACTCAGTTTATATCCCTTAAAGCTGGCATTCTTTTTCATTTTTCTAAGACTAAGTGTTGTTACTTTCTTAGCTATGCTATTGTTTTAACCAAATTCAATCCTGTGGGACTCCAGAGAGTCCAGGAGCCAGGTTTCTCCCCAAAACTTTGTTTCATGTTGCATTCTACACTTAGCCAGAGTTGGAAGATGAATTATTAGCCTGTTTATCCCTATTTACTTGAGGTTATCAAAGGAACATTCTAGAAATTTAAAAGCATAGAACTGGGGAAATGCTGTCTGCTGGGGACTTTGTGATTTGTTGCCTCAAGGGTCTCTAAGCTCTCAAGTTACGGTAGCCATCCCTGCTTGAGAAAGGGTTAATGAAGTATGGTGATTCCTGCAATTCCTTCTTGTGAGTTGGGTTAACGAGGTATAGCAGGTTAAACCCATGCTCAGTTCCACCATACCAGCATCAAACTCCAGTGCTAGGAAGAGAAGTCAACAGCATATACACAACTACTCCCAATTACAGACTCAGACATTGATCAGTCGGGACGTGTTAAACAAACAAACAAACAAACAAACAAACAAAAAACTAGCAGGTATGCTCTGTTGTAGGCTATGGTAAAGAGAGCAGATATTTTGGGAGCATAATGTGTGAAGACTCACTGTCCTTCCTTACTGGTACAGTGCATCCAATTGTTTTGCTTACAGGGCTCACCTCTCTGACTTCCCGCTCAGCACTAAGCTGCCTTGGTGGTCACACTAGTTGGTGTTTTCTAGCTGAATCATCTATAGGCAACTTTCTGGTTGTACCAATGAGGTAGAAACATGGTTTGGGTGAGGTATATACCTTACTATAATATTTTATTTTCATTTTACCTAAATATTTTATCCTCCTGTCCTAGTACATTTTTCCCTCCAGATGAAAAAAAATTGGGGTCATTTTAAGATCACTCACTATTTTTGAAAACCCTGTTTTACACCAAACACTTTCATGCATGAGCATTATAAACCAACTCTTTAATTCACAAACAATTACCTAAGAGGTTTTGTTGTTGTTGTTGTGTTTGTTTGTTTGTTTGAGACGGAGTCTAGCTCTGCCACCAGGCTGGAGTGCAGTGGTTCGATCTCAGCTCACTGTAACCTCTGCCTCCCGGGTTCAGGTGATTCTCCTGCCTCAGCCTCCTGAGTAGCTGGGACTACAGGTGCGTGGCACCACGGCCAGCTAATTTTTGTATTTTTTGTAGAGATGGGGTTTCACCATGTTGGCCAGGATGGTCTTGACCTCTTGACCTCGTGATCCACCCACCTCGGCCTCCTATTGCTGGGATTATGGGTGTGAGCCACAGTGCCCGGCCCAAGAGTTTTTGTTTTTGTTTTTGTTTTTTAAAGGAATTATATATACAGTATGATTTGAATTTCATAAATGTGATTTCCAGAAAGCTTTTTGAGAAAATGTTAGCAGCATTGAGTGAAGTGTGCCTATATAAAATGGAACCACTTGAGTTTCAACTTCTTTTCCTTCCTGTTTAAGCTCTGGTGGAGACGTTATTGAGTAGTAAAACTGACCATAGAGGTCAGTAAAACTGACCATTAGAGGAGGGGACGTAGGACGAAGGAAGCAGAAAGACTAGACAGGCTCTAGATAACTCCTTCTCTATCAGTTCCTGGAATAATGACCATATCTGTTAACCCCAAATTCTAGGCAAATGAAGACCCCAGTGACAGCACTGAGTCAGAGGAGGGCCTGGGCTCTGATGATGATCAATACATTTATAGGCCAGCTGGTGGCTTCTCCAGGAGCACAGGAAAAGAAGGAGATGATAAAGATGACGATGAAGATGACAGTGGAGATGATACCTTTGGCGATGATGACAGTGGTCCAGGGCCCAAAGACAGACAAGAAGGAGGAAACTCCAGACTGGGAAGTGATGAGGACTCTGATGACACCATACAATCCAGTGAAGAGGGTGCCCCACAAGGGCAAGACAGTGCCCAGGATATCACCAGTGAGAGCAGGGAACTTGACAATGAGGACCAGGTGGACAGCAGGCCTGAGAGTGACAGTGAAGAGCACTGGGTGGGAGGTGTCAGCGATGGGGAGAGCAGCCATGGAGACGGCTCTGAGTTTGACGATGAGGGAATGCAGAGTGATGACCCAGACAGCATCAGAAGTGAAAGGGGAAACTCCAGGATGAACAGTCCAGGCATGAAATCAAAAGAATCTGGAGAAAACAGTGAGCAAGCAAACACTCAAGATTCAGGTGACAGCCAATTGCTAGAGCATCCCAGTAGGAAAATTTTTAGGAAGTCTCGCATCTCAGAGGAAGATGATAGAGGTGAATTTGATGACAACAACACAATGGAAGAAGTCAAGAGTGACTCTACAGAAAACAGCAACTCCAGAGATGCTGGCCTCGGCCAACCCAGGAGAGACAGCAAGGGTGACTCTCAAGAAGACAGCAAGGAGAATATGTCCCAGGAAGACAGCCAAAACGTAGATAGCCCCAGCAGTGAGTCCAGCCAAGAGGGCAACCTGCCATCTCAAGAGAACAGCAGTGAGTCTCAGGAAGAGGTGGTGAGTGAGTCCAGAGGAGACAACCCGGACCCCACAACTAGTCATGTAGAAGACCAGGAAGACAGTGACTCCAGCGAGGAGGACAGCTCGCACACACTCTCCCACTCAAAAAGTGAATCCAGAGAGGAGCAAGCAGACAGCGAATCCAGTGAGAGCCTCAGCTTCTCAGAGGAAAGCCCGGAGTCCCCCGAAGATGAGAACAGCTCCAGCCAGGAGGGCCTGCAGTCTCATAGCACCTCAGCAGAGAGTCGGAGCGAGGAAAGCCAGTCTGAGGAAGACGACAGTGACTCTCAAGACAGCAGCAGATCCAAAGAAGATAGCAACTCCACGGAGAGCGAATCAAGCAGTGAGGAAGATGGTCAGTTGAAAAACATTGAGATAGAGAGCCGGAAATTAACAGTTGATGCCTATCACAACAAACCCATTGGGGACCAAGATGATAATGACTGCCAAGATGGCTATTAGCATCAGCTGTCCTAAGAAGCAGCTGTCACATAAAGGAGTCTTAGGGACTTGAAAGTGTATCATGATAACTATAATTTATTGATGTGTTGATCAAAAGAATAACCAGATGCCATTTTTTTCCTGAAAGGAATTGCTGGACATTACACTTGTTTCTAGGGTGTCATCATTTCATAGAGGTTTAAATACTGTGGAGTAACACCAGAACACATCCAAAGAGGCTAGAAGCAAGAAAGGATCTGCATGATAACTTTGCAGCTGAGATAGTTCCTAACTCATCAACCTAACAAATAAAGCAACTGGGGGTCCATGATGTACCAGGCACTGTGCTAGGTGTTGAAAATGTAAAGCAGGTTAAGACTTGCTTCTTGCTCCTAGGAACTTATAGAAGGATCCACAAAGCTACAGAGTTAAAGAGGGATATGTATAAGAGAAACAAGAATTGTTACAACCCAGTATGGTGAGTGCCAAAACAGAGTTATGAACACGATATCTATCTGGAAGCACTGAGAAGGGTGACCAATGTGTTGGAGAACGAGGGAGGGCTTCACAGCAGAAGACATTGGAGTTGGAAGGTTGCACAGGGTTTCCTCGTTGGAGACTGGGGAATTCTATTCTTAGGATAAATAATAGTAAATTCTATAGGATTAAATACTTAGTTTGCAAAAGCACTTTGAAATTACGGCACAGTGAGTTGTTTTGGATAAGAAAGTATTTTTCTCCCAATTAATTTACCAATTCATCATTTTTTTTTTTTTTTTGTAGAACTCCCATAAACATCACCTTACTGATCACTGGTGATGATAAGAAGGATTGGGTCGGGAAGAGTGGGAGAAAGAAATTCCTCTTTACATAGATACTTTTTAGCTTTATTTTTCTAAAATCGGTTTGTGTGCAATGCTAGAAAAAAACTGTTCTCTGAGTCCTTTACAGAGAAAAATTCTGTATATAAGATTCAATTGATTTTTTGCTAAATGCCATTTGAAATATTACCTCAACATAAAATACTTGTTTTGTAATAAAGATTATAATACCCAAAAAATGTGCTTATTTGTAATCGTGGTGTTGATTATTAGGATTTATTTATGTTAAGCAACTCTTTCTTTAAAGTATTCCCAAATTGTTCATTACCTTCCTCCTATTAAAATGCAAGATTTTCTTAAATTATTTCCTGAAAATTTTATTTGTAAGTCAGGTAGCATTTGATAAAAGTACTATGTGTTGCTTATGATATTTCACTAACTATACCTGTTACAGAACAGGGAGAAAAATGAAGCAAACTCTCAATTTTTGTTTGAGGCCACACTAAAAGTTTATGATGTTCAGGCTTAACATTAGTTCCTGCTGGTCTCTCAGACTCATTTGTGTAAGCTCTGGAAGCTACAGAGAACCACATTCCTTATATTTTTATTTCTTTGAAAGAAATGACTTCATCTCAGCACTTCTACTTTACAAATGTGTTTTTACCCACACTTCCACTAGAGTACCTCAGAATTCCCCACAAAATTATTAAAAGAATCAAGAAGACTTCCTGGCCAGGTGTGGTGGCTCACGCCCGTCATCCCAGCACTTTGGGAGGCTGAGGTGAGCAGATCACTTGAGGTCAGGAGTTTGAGACCAGCCTGGCCAACATGGTCTCTACTAAAAATACCAAATGAGCCAGGTGTGGTGGCACGCCTCTGTAGTCTCAGCTACTCAGGAGGCTGAGGCACAAGAATCGCTTGAACCCGGGAGGTGGAGGTTGCCGTGAGCCGAGATCGTGCCATTGTACCCTAGCCTGGTAAAGAAGAGCAAGACCCTGTCTTAAAGAAAAAAAAAAAAAAAGAATCAAGATGATTTTCTAACTCTCAGTCTCACCCTTCCCATCCTTCAATTTCTCTGTTCCCTCACAAGGTCAAAGGTGTGTTTACTTGGGGAGATTTAAAAATCGTGTGTGTGTGTGTGTGTGTGTGTGTGTATGTGTGTGTGTGTGTGCGCTATTCTCTAATCCTTCCCCTTGAAATTTTAGAGTTTTTAATTTGGTAGGTCTGGAGTGAGACTCAGAGTTCCACATCTCTAAAAGGATTCCAGGAAATACTGATGGAGCCCATCCAATATCGCTATTTGGGGTCTCCACTTGGATTCATTATCTGACTCCATTAACCTACAGGTTCCTGCCAACCCATTGCTCCTCCTAAGAAGAACTGCCCCATGCTCAGACCTCCTGGTTGCCTGAGGCACAGGTGGCCAGGTTCTAACCACTCACATGCCCCACCTCACCATAGGGGACTGGAAAGAATGAGCACCTGACATGAGGCAAGCCTGACTGGCAGCCTCCAAGGAGGCATGTTGCAAAGGCTCTGCCTGAACGCGGATGATGGGGGCTTGAAGTCTAATCTTATTTTCCTTCTCTGCAAATTTGAATATTTAGGGAAAGAGATGTCAGAAAGCGGTTAGAACAAAAACAGAAGGAAATACACAGAGAGGCAGAAATGGAGAGTGGGCTAAACCCCATTAATGTGGCACACAAAATGGAAAATTATGGAGCTCCTGGTGCTGAGGGGCAAAACAATCAACTTCCTGCCTGTAAGTTGGACTTGACTCTCCCGTTGCCCCCAGGCCCTTCCTGGATCCTGGGATGTTTTGTCTTCTCAAATGCCCCCTGCATGAGAGCACCCACCTTTCTTGAGGCAACTTGAGTGAGTCTTTGTTCCCGGCAACCAAAGTGCCTAATGAACAGAGACCTAGAAACTTATGTTAGCTAGTGTTCCTAGGTTCTGTAACCCAGTGGTCCCCAAACTTTTTGCTGTCAGGGACCAGTTTCGTGGAAGACAATTTTTCCAGGGATGGGGGGTGAGGAGGATGGTTTCAGGATTATTCAAGTGCATTACATTTATTGTGCACTTATTTTCTATTATTATTACATTGGAATATAAAATGAAATAATTATACGACTCACCATAGTGTAGAATCAGCCCTGAGCTTGTTGTCCTGTAACTAGATGGTTCCATCTGGGGTTGATGGGAGAGAGTGACAGATCATCAGGCATATACAAAATTCACAATAGGGTTCCCGCTCCTATGAGAATCTAATGCCACTGCTGATCTGACGGGAGGTAGAAATCAGGCAGTAATATGAATAATGGGGAGCAGCTGTAAATACAGATGAAGCTTCGCTTGCTCGCCTGCCTCTCACCTTTTGTTGTTGTGGCTTGGTTCCTAACCAGGGTATGAGGAACCCTGTTATAACCCCTTTATCCGGATAATTCACAGGACTTTTAGAAGAAAGAACAGTGATAAGAATTTCAGCTACGTTCATGATAGAACCCCCGCTCTGGGGCAGATGTAGGAGGGTTTTCCTTTAAGTTCCCATTGACTCATTTAATGTGCTTGCTACAGGCATTGGTGCATCTTGCAGTTGGAAGTGGTAGAGACACATTATTCAAAGGAAAGGTGGCTGGACTTGATCTTTGGCTTTCAAGGTGTACAAGTTTCCTCATGGAGTTCCTCTTGAAGTCTGTAGTAGATGAGTCCACTTGGGAATCCAAATTATAATTAGCAAATAATTTTAAATTTATAACGGGAAAGAATAAGAATGAAAAGCCTGCATGGTGAGCATAAACGGGAACAGAGGGAGCTATGCAGTGTGAATGCTTAACAGCACTGGGCTAAAATAAGACGGTGCATCTACGATGCTCCCTGGAAACCTCACAGTAGGAACTGAAACATTCTCTCTCCCTGAAAAGTGCTCTAAAGTGCCATGATTAACTTTTGCCTCAGTGGTTATTTTTCTAAACTTGTGAGGGCTGATCCACTCTTCATTAAATTGCCCATTCTTTATTTAAAAAACATTTTAAACTGAAAAGTAATAACTGCACATATTTGTGGGGTACATACTGATATTTGGATACATACAATGTATAGTGATCAGATCAGGGTAAATAGGATATCTATCACCTCAAGCATTTATTATGTTTTTGTGTTGGGAACGTTCAATATCCCCCTTCCAGCTATTTGAAACCATATATACATATATACACACACACACACACACACACATACACACACACATATACACACACACTCTCACTTTTTTATATATTATGTATATATTTTGTATAATATGTATATATATACACATTCTTTTTCGTCAGACAATCAATTTCTTTTTTTAAAGGTAACTTTTATTTTAAGTTCAGCGGTACATGTGCCGGTTTGTTATATAAGTAAACTTGTGTAATGGAGGTTTGTTGTACAGATTATTTCACTACTCAGGTATTAAGCCTAGTACCCATTAGTTATTTTTCCTGATCCTCTCCCTCCGCCCACCCTCTACCCTCTGATAGGCCTCAGTGTCTGTTGTTCCCCTCTATGTGTACATGTGTTCTCATCATTTAGCTCCCACTTATAAGTGAGAACATGCAGTATTTGTTTTTCTGTTCCTGCGTTTTAGTGAAACTGTATATTATTGTTAAATATAGTCATCCTGCAGTGCTATGGAACACTAGAATTTACTCCTTCTATCCAGCTGTAATTTTGCACCCCTGAACAACTCTCTACCTTCCTCCTACCCTTCCCCACAGCTAGTATCCTCTGTCCTACTTTTTACTTCTATGAGATCAACTATTTTTAGCTTCCACATGTGAGTGAGAACATATGGTGCTTAGCTTTCTGTTCCTGGCTTATTTCACTTAACATAATGTCCTCTAGTCCCATTCCTGTTGCTGTTAATGACAGGATTCCATTCTTTTTATGGCTGAATAGTATTCCATTATGTATGTATACCACATTTGTTTTATCCATTCATCTGTTGTTGGACACCTAGGTTGATGCCATATCTTGGCTATTGTGAATAGTTCTACAGTAAACATGGGGATACAGATGTCTCTTCAATATAATGATTTCCTTTCCTTTGGATGAATTTCCAGTAGTGAGATTGGTGGATCACATGGTACTTCTATTTGTAGGTTGTTGAGGAACCTCCATATTTTTCTCCATAGTGGCTGTACCAGCTTACATGCCCACCAATATTGCCATTCTTTCTTAAAGTAGTACAGTCAAGTTGCTTTCTATGGAGTCTGGCTAGCCTGGGAGCCATTCTGTCTTGTTTACATGATTTCACATATCTATATAGCTCTTAAAATTTAGTTTCTACATGGCAGTCTTATTCTACTCATCCTAAATCTCTGGTGAGGTGGGCACCTCCTTGTGGCTCCCAGATAAATACAAATTGATGGTTTCTAACTCAGACCATTTGCTCATTAACATTCATTATTTCAATGAAGCGCACATGCTATGATCCAGGCATTAGGCATAAACAAGGTTGATCTAAGGAAGTGAATGAGAAAACAGGAGAGAAGCACATTCCTAGTAGAGGGAGCGCCAAAGTAAATGTACAGAATTGTTTATGGCAAGTTAAGATGTGATTTTTAAAAATCTGGAGTCACTGATGCTTGGGGAAAAAAGAAAGAGGGAAAATGGTAAGAGAAGAGGTTGGAAAGGTGAGCTGGGATCCAATGGGAAGATCTCTGAGTAACAGACTAAGGAGAGTAGTCTTCATTTTTCTTGAGAGCTTTCCCAGCACTAATTTTTCATACATGATATATTACACATAGCACAAATGTTTTTGAGATGGATATTATAAACTCTCTCCCCCTTAAAAATAGATATATAAAATAAAGGAGAGAAATGGAGCATA